TTAACGAAAGGCACTCTAAGACCATTTTTGAGGAAAATGGAGGCAATGAATACGCACAACAAAAGCTAGAAACGTCTGAAGCATGCTAAACAAACAATACCACCGCTTTGTCGTGGGAAATGATTTTGCACGATTAGCTCACGAACCAAACGAGACCTTTAGGAATACAGTTTCATCCATCATTGATTCGAAGAAAAAAAGGTGAGATTCTACACGTTAATGTAGTGACTTAATATATATATATTCTGCTTGACTTTTTAGGTGCTTCTGCCAAGTGTAATGTGCGTTGCAGTGTCATGTCACACGCAGGACAAGTTGAAACGACAGAGCAATTTATCCAACTTTAAAAATCAATTCCTTCGCTCTGAATCATTTCCCCCTAAAATCCTTTACGGCTCTAAAAGAACAACTCTTTGACTTTTCAACGCTAGGTTTTCGATAAATTATATGCAGTACCACAAGCTAAAATAATGGGCTAATTTTAGATAAGTTTTATTCTTGATAAAAATAGGACGAGTTTCCAGATGGGATTTGAACCCACGACCCTCCGTGATCTAGTCGGATGCTCTAACCACTGAGCTATAGGAGACTCTATGGTGAGCAAGAGTTAATTAGTGGCTGTTAACTGAAACCGCATCACGCGGCTACACAGCCAAACATCAGCTAGCGCATAGAAGCTCACTAACAGCATTACGCTGTCACATTAAAGCATCACATGCATTAAAGCATCACATGCACCATCCGACTAGATCACCGAGGGTCGTGGGTTCAAATCCCATCTGGAAACTCGATTTTTAAAAATTGTTTATTTCATCTATAAATAGGTCGATCAAATTAAATTAGATTATAAAATTAAATTGACGAGAATTGCTAAAAATTGTTTCACGGTGTCTTTTGACATCGTTCTACAATATGTGTTTGATTTCATTTCCTTAGAGTGTTTTATTTTGTAACGCGAGGAGCCGTGAATCACCCTTAATTTCGCATTGAAAAAGCGGCGTTTTACAAAATTCAGTGATTATCGATTTTCTCCAAAACTGATCGATATTTAGCAAAATGAACTCTGCAGCGTTTTGTTTTACATTAAGGTATACCTGACATGAGATTATGCATTATGGGCCAAACTGATTTTTGAGCTGTTGCCACGAAATTTTAAAAATGTTTGATTTTTGGTAACATTTGCTCTTAATTTGGACTGTTTTAATTTACTCGGTCACCAGGTACTATAAAGAAAGAAAATTGTCGTTACTCGGACTTTTCATGTTAAGCTTTTTCGTCGCTGGCACATTTCATTTCTATGGTAACCACCAGGAAGATAAGTTTGTTCTCACAGACATGAGTGACCAATCTTACAAGTTCTTACTGAGTTCCCGGTGTCTAAGGTCAGAACTTGCAATAAGAACTGATTAATCTTCTAGGATAAGTTCTTAAGTTTCACAGAGGACTAGCAATCAAAGAACGCAGTGTGGACAGACACCATGCATTAAATCCTCCGTCCCC